AGATGGAGCGACTTCTAACGATACTTATAGTTGGGATGCTTCTCCTTTCTGCAGAGTTACAAGTAAACGATTTGCACAAAAAGGAAAATGAGGAACGAAACTGAGTTCTGGTTGCAATAGTATACTGAATACCCTCCAATTGCTTGTTACAAACGTGGATGCATCAGTTATCTATGAAACAGTTGTATTTAAAACTTATTCATGTCCATGCCATGTCTAAATTTACTAATGATTTTTAAGATGTTTTATTTGTTTATTATTATTTACGTGTTTATATTTTTATTAGGTGTTATGTTACTATTTACTGTTGGAATAACACTTTAACAGAATATTTTATGTCGCACCTTTAAACTTGTATACAATGACGTTAACTATATAAAATTCCAAGTAATATCAAATGGATTACACTAACACACGAAAGGTGATTTCCATGCTCATCAGATTATTTTTTTTTAAATAAAAAAAATAGTATGCTGAGTACCGTTATTGCTATGAAAACATCTGAATTGCTTTTAAATTGCAGTTAATTAAATATATTTACAACCGTTTACCAAATTTCATAGTTGCGAAGACATATTTATGGTATCACACCTTATAATAATAAAAATTTTGTTATGTTTTGCCATTTTTCATTAGAGTAGTAGGAATTCTAGAACAGAATTTTTAGAAAGATCAGTTAGTTAAAAATAGTGAATGCAGTCATTTCAATATATACCGTATGATCTCATAATCCTTGTACTTTTAAAAATAGTGTTTATGAAAAAATACCGAAGTGAAATTTGTACAAGTGTATAGGAATTCTTTCTAGGAACCTCGATAAAATTTTCTGTTTCTATTAAAGCTGTACATTACTTGGTTTTCCTTGTGCTTATACGTCAGAAAAAATAAAAAGTTGCTTTGTAGCCTATAATATTTAATAAATATTCCTTTTATTGATTCTGTGAATAAAATTATTTGTTTCATCTGACATAATGTAAAATCTATTTATAAAATACGTATAAAACATTATAAAACGATTATTTAAAATCAATAAAAGAAAATTTGGAAAATTGAATTAAAATTACACTATATATAAATATCTTTTCAATATAGTGCTTTGAGTAGTTCTATTTATCAAAACATAATATTTCTTTTATACCAGTTTCAATATTAGTCATCATCAAAGCAAATAAAATTCAAATTTTATGGAAATTATAGATTATATGTTAACAGAATGCAATCTTTGAAAGATAAATGTTTTATTTAACCAATGTTTTAGACAGTTGCAAAAAGAAAACTTTGGAAACACATCATTTATCATTAAAGTTATGGAATGTGGAATTATATTCTTTAGCTTAGTTTCCGATACAAGAAAAACATCGCAAATAACTTCCACATTATAGTCAACAACGGAACAAAATTTCAGTTCAAATAACTCAAAATACTGTTACATTATTCTGTGTGAGTTTTTATATAACGCAATGAAATTATTTTCATTTATCTATTCAATCTGAAACTTTAACGGTTTAATAATTATGAAAGTCAATAAAATCTTGTGCCGCAAAGAGAAAACATGCTTAAATTTTTAAAAACTGCGAGATTGTTACATAAATTTGTAGCTTAATAACTCACAATTACAAACCAGGCGCCAATTCCACTTAAGATAGTAGTATAAAACTAATAAAGTAAATTGTATGTCTTTGCAAACTTCTCTGATTTCATTATTAAAAGTTATATTCAAATTAAATCCATATTTTTGTCATTTATTTAAATGCATTCACCTATTTCTTGTTTTAATGAAATCTGCAGGAAACTCATCCATTACTCTTTTCTATTTATACAGGGTGTGCCGTTTGAAGTAGCCATTGTAAGACTCAAACAACTCTAACTTACAATTCGTTAATTGAATTCGGTTGAGATATTCAGCCCACAGCTGTATTTTCACTAGTCACTACTATTGGCTAATGTTGGTACTGCCAATTTAACAGCTTAATTGCCAATGAAATTAATGAGAATTGTGAATCTTTCAGTGAAAACGTTACAATTACTTCAGTGGGTGATATTTAAATAATGCTAAATATGTCGGATCTAAATCTATTGACACGGAAAACTGTTTTCTAGCAACTGTTACAATTAAAATGATGCAATACAGCAAATGAAACATTTAGAAAAACAGAAAGATGAGTAATATTGAGAGAGATAATCCAACAGAGCGTGTATGTAAAAAAATGGTTAAGTAAAAAAAAAAGCAAATGCTACTTTGTAGCGGAAATATTGGTGAGAGACCTGACCAGAACTTTGACAAGAAGGGAGAAAAATATTTTTCTACTCACCCAAATGTGATCTTTTATTTCAAACTCAAGTCGGCCTACGGATCTGTTGCGAGGAACTTGTCATGTTAGTTTTAAATGACGCACCCTGTATGTGGGGCCATAGTACTGTAAAGTCACCCACACAAAACGGTGTGAAGCTATTTTAACAAGTAACGCAGATATTTATGTGTTCTATGTGTTCTTTTAGCTGACCTATAACAAAAATAGGGTAAAAATAAAAGACACGCATGTGTCAAAAAATAAATGAAACCAGCAAATCGCGGCACCTATTACCTTTTAAAATGTTTTGTTTCCTCATCGTTTATTTTTATTACTCTACTATTTACGCTATGAAATTACTATCTGATTGATGAGTTGCTGAATTTTATCCAAGTTGTAACTAGCAGAAACTCGAAATCCAACAGTCATACATTTTTTTTAAGATGCACGTACTCTGATGTTTCACATTTTTCTTTCAACCTAGATACGCGTTAGTGTAATGTTTATTGTTATAACTGTCATTATTATAATACTGACTTCTGTTTTTAAATTTAATTTTGAGGGAAGTCTATATAAAAAAAACCCTGGTCGAAGTTTTAGAAATGATCGCCCTGTATTTTCTTAATACACGTTTTATTAATATTTTAGATGCTGTATCTATTCTAGAGCTATTCAAACTACTGAAAGGAAAACAATACTTCATTTATTTGATTTGATAAATTGGATTTTTTATGTTATCCCGATTAGTGTTTCAATCCGTGATAACGATATTATTATTTGCAGTCAGACTGTAGCTATCCGCAATTACTTTCGACATGGGACCAAGAATCATCTTCGCCATCGTTATCATTATTATTTTATACAGGAAAAAGTTTGCTACGAGATGTATTAAACTGATATATTTGATACAGTCTGTCACTAGAAATCGGGGCATCGAAAGATCCGTAAATATACATAAAATATTTTTATTACCCTTTAATTCATAATCACTTTATGAATGGGCGCTTTACCTCAGAAACGTATTAAATTAAACATATCGAAGAATCCGTAAAAATAGATACAAATTTAACATTAACACTCAATTTATCACCACCATCATTATTATCACATTATTTTATACCGAGATGCTATCGCTACGGGATCGTCATCAATATTATCATCACTATCGCCAACATCATCATCATAATCGTCTATAGTAAGAAATCCCCGAAATTGAATATAATTGGAGTATTTAGAAAATTAGAAAGATCCGTAAAAAATGTAAATTTCAGGATGAATTATTATTGTCGAATATTTTATTAATTACTAAATAAAACAATTTTTTTCAATTCGTTAATACCTTCCATATTTAGCTTTTTACGGACGAAATAAATATTGCTATTTATTTATCACCACCATCATTATTATCACATTATTTTATAAGGATCGCTATGGGGGATTTTGAAAAATCGAAAGATCCGTAAAAACATCAAAAATGAATATCACCTTTTAAATCCACAATGAGTTACTACAAATATTATACTAATTTATAAAATAAAAGTGTTTTTCATTTTGTTAGTACTTTTCTAGTTTTTCACAAATGAAATACTGTTTTACCATTTTCGACATAGGAACAAGAAAGTGCTTGAAGCCTGGAGGTCAACAATTTATTTTTAATTTTAAACTTTTACTATTAATTATTGTTACTAATTAAATTAGCAAATAGTTTGTAGATGTCAGTTTGGTCATAATCATCAATATCATCGTCATCGATATTATCATCACTATCTCCAACATCAACATCATCATAATAATCGTCTATAGTAAGAAATCCCCGAAATTGAATATAATTGGAGTATTTTGAAAATTAGAAAGATCCGTAAAAAATGTAAATCCAGGATGAATTACTGTCGAATATCTTACTACTTACTAAATTTTTTTCAATTCGTTAATACCTTCCATATTTAGCTTTTTACGGACCAAATAAATATTGCTATTTGCGGCAGTTACAGAAATAAACATAAAATATTGTTTTTATGTGGATCATCTTAAAATAGACAGTGTGGTTAAATGCGGAGGATGCCTAGAATAAACTCAAAACAACTCTATGAAAATCTCGTCAAATGAATTATGGCTGTGGAGTTTATTATGTAATGGAAAACAAATACAGGTGTAAGAATTCGCTCTGTATTCGTAAGGGGATGTTTCGGTAAGTGAAAGCGATGGAAATGATGTCTAAAATAGAATAGAATAGTTTCAGGATGTGAAAAGCGAATCTACGCCACTGCTGTATTTTCGTATGTAAATAATGAGAATGAGTCACCCACCCTATATTGTACATTTTTTCTAAGAATTTCTAATGTTTATTTTATTGGTTATTTTAGTAAATCGTGTAATTTATAAAAAGCAAGAGTAGGAAAGGTAATGTATTAAACTATTAAATAATAAATAAATGCATGTATTTATCAGGAGGCAGCGCAATGAAAAGTGGAATGAAAGAGTTAAGTAACCGGCGGTATTCGCTGGAAACACACAAAAGACCAGGAAATAGTCCTTTATCAGAAAATCAGCCCGCGTGCTACAAGCCATAAGGACTGTACGACAGGGTGTTTTGGATATAGGTATAATATTTCCAGAAAGTAATATTCCCCTCCTCATATATAAGAGTGCGAGTGGCTAGTGGCGCGTGAGTTAAAATCCTGCCTCACATCGCATCGTTTACTACGGAGAGCTAGTCAGGTTCGCGTATCATTTACGCGCCCAGTGCTGTGCATAAGTGCATGTGCAAGTGCATTTCAGTGTCAGGTGCAACTAACTGATGCCGGCTTTAGCCCCCGGCTATGGGCGGTAATATTTGGGCTACTATAGCGGCGTGGACGTCATTCTGTCTTGTGTTAGTGTTAAGTGCTGCTGCTGCTGCTGATCACGGCCTCCTCCAAGACCTGGGCCTTAACATTCTTCCAGATATCTCAAAGGTACGGCCCGTATGCTCATGCTTAGCCGGTCTCTTTAGATGGTACATTCTTTCCGGTACCGTCAGGTATTTCCCTATCCTAGGGAATTCCACCGCACGTACTCACATAACCGGAGCAGGCCACAAAAAATTCCAACCTACTATTATTGCCATGCACCTCTTACTGAGATAACTTTAAGATCCAAAATAGAAACGGGGACACCTCGCTTAGGCAATACGCTGTATAAACAAAATTTCCACCAAAAATATAATTGTATTTATTTTCGTATATTGCCCCCGTTGGCAAAATCGCCCACTAAAATACACCCATTTTTATGGCTTAAAACAAACAAAAATGTACTCCTTTCTTGAAACTAACATTTTTACCCTCCAAAAACACTACCTTGTAAAATTTAACCAAAATGTAAATATTACCTTTAAATTAACTTACTCCGTTTAAAAGTAGGTACAAAGCTAATAGGTTAAACCGCAACAGATGCATAATATGAATCATTCATTCATTTTCCGATAAAAACTCTCAAATTAAGGAGAAGCGGGGCTAATTTAAATTTAACCGTGTTCCTGTTATGAACTATTTAACATAAATTCAAGAGGATGTGGTGGCTGAAAAGGCGAGACGTCTCTTTTAAACATAAAAATGCATATGTCCCTCGATGTGTATCACGCCGTAAACATAGTACTATATCCGGTAACTTTGATCAATGCAGTGTAACCTACTACAAAAAATAGCAGGAACTATTTTTATTCATGGTTAATGAGAACCTCTTGAAATAAAAAAAGTGAAAATATAATTAACGGGTGATATAAATATTTTTAATAGGATGTTTATATATAAAAAAATATTTATCGCTTAACAAAAGGACGTCTCAATTTTTTTTAATTCGCAAAAATACCTTTGAATTGAATGAAGCGTGGAATTTGTATTTTTTACAGCGCACCTAGAAATAAATACATATTCGGTACTTTTTGGGAACCAACGATTGCGGTCAAAATAAGTTAATTTTGTTTCACATCCTCTTTCTGTCTAAATAAACAATAGTTTATTTTTGTTTCACAACTTGACGGAATTTTTTATCGACTAGATCAACTTGGGATATCACACTCTGATTGTTTCCTAAGGCACTAAAACAATAAATTAATTTATATTACTTTTATTTACATTTTCTTCAGATATGAATTATGTAGACGTTTTTTTGCAGCAAAACTTGTCCATTAATTATTGTAATATACATTTTTACACATCATCACTTTCGTCACAATTTTGACAACAATCTTAATAACATAATCCTTATCTATGTTTTCTGTGCTAATAAGCCAACCTTATTTTTTGTTTTATTCTATATCCGTATATCAAATATCATTTGATGAGAATTTACAAAAAAAATCGGGTTAAACGCTAAATTTAAAAAATGCCTATATTAAATAAATAAAATTCAATCGAGTTAAATTTCTTAGAAACAACTTTATCAAATTATTCGCCCGTCCCTCTGTATAACCGGAATGTAAAAATATTTCAAAAATTCTTGCAGATTTATTTATAAAATTGCGCTTGGACGGTCGTACCTTTCACTTCCTGACTCATGACCTCTTTTGCGGCGTTAAAAAATTTTGTTGTGCCCAAAATGGTGCAAGGGTTTTTGTTAAGTTGTATAATTATATTGCAGACAGCCAATTGTGGATTAATTGAATCACAAACAGAGGAACTGCCATTGAACGGTTTCGAGTAATTCGTAAAAATCTTCGGTTTATTTTTGTTAAGGAAAGGAAATTGATTTCTGAGTCTATAAATAACTGTGAAAGGGGTATTGACCTAATATTTAATAAATTTAGACAATAGAGATGCCCCTACATTTATTCGTCCCTATTTAACAAACAAATAAAAACAAAAGACCAGAGGTAAATGCACGTGTTTGTACCTGTTGGGTTTCTAACACGTCTAACAAAAATAACGAAAGATGTCAATCACCGCTAACCAAAGCTCAATTTGGGTGCTGCATTACTAACTCTGTTTAGAATTATTAATGTTTAGCTCACGTGTACCTGTGATTGATGTTGCAATTGATATATAAATAAATTTCAACATCTCTAAGTACGAAAATTCTTTTTTGTAGTCAAGCTGTGTAAACTCAATCCCATGTAATAGATGATTTTATTATACTGCCCCATCGGGCATGATACACGGATATAACTTAAATAATAAATTAAAATATGTATTGATAATTGCGTGTATCCTTTATTATAATGAAATTGTCTTATGATAATGAATTTTAGAATAATATCATATCCATTGACCTTTATCAGTGAATGTTTCCTGTCTTAAATAAAGGACGCACGCTAGTGGAATACTGAGTTTTTTTCAGTGAAATCATAGGTCCCATGTCATCTTAACTACAAAGATAAAGATTTAATCAATGCCTTTAAAGTTAATAACATACATCAACACAATATGCAATGTGGCTCCCTAAGCACATTTTTACTAAAGTTTCGATTGTAACAGTTTTTGGCGCTAAAAGGTATTCAAATTTTGACCCCAGATCTTTTGCAAATTGATTCCTGTTCGTATATTTGCAATTCCCTTATCAACTGTCTTTGGATTGAGACGGTCCCGAGTGTCGAAAACAGGAAGAACACAATTCTGTCGATCACCCTTCGAGGTAAGGTTAAAGAGTACGTGTGATACGGTACGTCTGCATTACAGTCAACTCCTATTTTAGTACATACGTAATCTTGGAGGATGAGTAAATAAAGTTGGTTTTGGAATGCTTTCAGCTTAAAAAATAATAACACCTGTGATCATTTTCATATTAATTCGCTTGAACGACCACATTTCTTAGAGGCAAACAAACCTTTCTTTGTTGTTTTCTAATAAAGGATGGTTATGATGATGCCATTATAAGCTCATTTTGACTGATTGATGTGTGTCATACACGATTTTCTTTATGACATGTATCCGTGGAATTGTGCAATGTATACTAGAAACGGCGACGTACTCACTAAGCGCAGCTTTGTACTTTAACAAGAGAACTTTCTCTGTTCTGTCGGACATTCGATTATTTCTGTTTTTACGTTAGCGGGTAATTCACAGTTGATAACTGGTTGGTGTTTTAAATATTTTACCGATTTATGTAAATGCCGCAGGATTTATAATTGACTCCTAATGAACCCAAACGTACCAGTATTGTGCCAAATTAGTGTTATAATTCCTTGGAAGACCCAGTCCTTTCGAGAAACAAGCGCGGGTTATTGTATATTAATTCCCTGGAAATATTAGTGTTAGTATTTTTTTGTGAAGGCATAACCATACATGCCCAATAATATGATGTACCTAAAGAGTACAAATATAATAACGTATGTTTTAAAGACTAATGTGCAACTTTTTTGGAATAGACCTTTTTAGTAGTGACGTCACATACGCCAAATAGTGCACATTGTCATGAAGAATTACTCAATATTTTTACTAGATCGATTTTCGACCTTATGTACATTGGACATAAGTGCCAAAAATGGCTTCTTTGTCATGACATTAAATATTGCGATATTCTGGCAATATTCGAAATATTTAAGAAGTTTCAAACACCAAATGACAAACTAATAAAATTATAGAATTTATATATTTAAATTTATAGATATAGATTTATATTTTTTTATTACTTTTAGAGTAATTAGTAAATTAAAATTATATCAATGTTACTGAGCATGCGTATTAAAGATAATTTCATGTTTCATGTTAGCGAAGTATATTCAAGAAGAAGTTTGGTTCTGGTTAAGAGTACGTCTATAATAAACCACTTGAAGAAAAAACACCGGATAAACACACCGACACAGTACAACGTCAAGAAAAACAATAAAGATACTTAGTAGAACTAGAAAATACCAAGATTAAACAAAACAAGAGAAAATACGCTGATGGTGACAGCGACAACATATCAACAAGATGTCACCTGGTATGAGGTTATTCTTTCCGAGCATGAGCATTAGGAATAACAGGGCTAATGTTTTACTTTATTTAAATTTTGGAATATTCATTTATATCGTTTTTTGTAAGTTTTAAGCACATTAGTGTATCTATTTTACCAAACACGTGTTCGTTGTTCTTAAATACTTCCAAATCCTTGTAAAAATAAATTAATTTGATGTTGATCATTTTTATAGAATCTATCTACAGGGTCGAAAAGTCCCCATGGTTCATCGGCCGTTACGTGAGAGCGATAAAGTAAGTCATAGAAATCCGTGTGATAGAGAAAGATGGGTATAATGAATGCGTCTAATAGTCACCTCCCATTTCGCCCTTCCACAAATAAGAAGTGGATCTTATTTGTGGAAGGGCGAAATGGGCGGTGACTATTAGACGCCTTCATTATAGCCATCTTTCTCTATCACACGGATTTCTATGACTTACTTTATCGCTCTCACGTAACGGCCGATGAACCATGGGGACTTTCCGATCCTGTATGTAAATAGTACACAAGGGTCAGATTCAGTCTGTACAATTTTAACTATGACAATTAGTTGCGGGTTGCCTAAATATGTGACGTCACAGTAAAAGAGTCTATTTACCCAATTTATCTCCTACAGTTTCCGAGATTTCCATGAACCATCCTGTATAATGGAATGCCTGAAATCTCGAGTATTAAAATATTTGCTTTAGTTCGCTACCGAGTAATCTTCAACGCCTATAAAATCGAAGGTGTAGTAAAAAATTATATATTAGTGTAGTACTTATAGAGAGTGGCCCAATAGTGTGACAAAGTTCAAAGTTCCCTTATTATAAATTATTGAAAATAAATATTTTATGGGAGTGATGCACTTAAAAAAGTTCACATTTTAAAAATATTTTGAATTATACAGGGTGATGCATTAGGACGCAACATCTTTAAGGTGGTTTTTCTTAAATGGAACATTCTATATATTTTTACAAATTTGTATTCTACAGAAAATTCTCTTTCTAGCGATGTATTTGTTTTTTGTATTCGATGCGGCGATGCCAAGTTATTTGAAAAAATAAGATAATTTTCGCTGGGACGGGGTTCTGTAAATCTATTCTCTGTGCAGGTACTACCAGTAATTAAGAAAAAGTATTTTGTAACGCATGCGGACCAAAGATGTGGACAAATAATAAAACAAAAACATCTTTATAATTTTGTGTTCTACACATAAGCCCCAGTTTAGCGAATGTCGAAGGACGTTTTCACGGTTTTTTTAAATGAAACACCCGGTATATTATTTTATTTTTCGATTAATATGTTAATACCCTATGCCTAAAATCACTATTTTCGGAAATATTGGTACTTTTCTAGTACTTTAATTTTGCAAATTTTACTTTTTATTATTCTAGTAGGCCATGAGTTTGCCATCAAATAACAAAATGTATAATTTATCCTTTATCCGCCAACAGTAACAAAATTAAAATTGTTAAACTAATTGTTTTTGTCCAGGGCTAACTTGATGGCAATTAAGAAAAAATTGATAAAAACCATAGAAAATCACAAATACCTTAAAAAGTTGTCAGGCCGTATGGAAAATGTATGTTTTTTTCGAAATAATAAGTTAGTCAAACAACAGAGAAATGCTAAATTGAATGATTAAAAGTAGATTTTAACAAAATTTAAAATGAATAAGGAATTACTACAAATGAACAGAATCGAGGAAGTGTTAGTAATAAATTAAATACTTAGTATAAAAAGAAAAGAAATATAAATAGACACTAACTAAATAATAATTTAACTATCTAACAAAATGTTCAAAGTGTCTTCTGTTAAATTTAAACTCCCATCTATTTTGCGAGTGCATTCTCTCAGAATGCGGCTTTTCTGTGGCAAAATAATGAAAATTATGTCAGTTGACATTACCATTCTTATGAAAGGACAAAATCTGTAAAATCGCGTTCTATTCTAATTTTCTTTTGAACTCACTCGCAGAACAAATCGTCTTCTACAATCTTCATCACTTAATTCCTGCAATAATTGTACATGATATAGATGCATTTTATTGTCTTTTAGTGTTCTTTGAACAGATGTTCTTCCAATATCTATTTGAACACCAATTTCTCGTTGACTAATATGAGGTGACAGTCAAAAGAACGTTTAATTCATTTTTTTCAGTGAATGTTCGTTTTTTAACATTTTTACAATAAGCTACAGTACCGGAATGATCAAAACGATCCATTACTTTTTCTAAAAGTTCGTACACTGGACTGCCTTCTCTGTGGATAGCGTTGAGGATAAATTCGTGTTGCTAATAAAGTATTTTTTATCACTTGCACCCAATACATAAATCATATCAAGAAGAAAAGTTCATTTTGAAGCATTTTCAAACTTACAACCCAGCAATTTACACTACTGATAATTAAACAACAACAGTAAACTTGCAGATTTTATTATTTTATGTCAAACTCATGGCCTACTAGAGTAATCAAAAGTAAAATTTGCAAAATTTAAGGGGTTTTGCTAGAAAAGTGCCAACATTTCCGAAAATAGTGATTTTAGGCACAGACTATTACTTACAAAATAATATACCGGGTGTTTCACTTAAAAAAATCGAGAAACGGGGCTTATGTGTGGAACACCCTTTACAAAATAATAAAGATTTTTTTGTTTTGTTATTTGTCCGCATCTATGGTCCGCATGCCTACAAAATACTTTTTCTTAATTACTGGTAGTACCTGCACCTGCACAGTGGATAGATCTACAGAACCCTGTCCCAGCGAAAATTATCTTATTTTTTCAAATAACTTGGCATCGCCGCGTCGAATACAAAAAAACAAAGACATCGCTGGAAAGAGAATTTTCCGTAGAATACAAATTTGTAAAAATATACAGTGTTCCATTTAAAAAAAAAACACCTTAAAGATGTTCCGCCCTAATGCTTCACCCTGTATAATTCAAAATGTTTTTAAAATGTGAACTTTTTTAGGTACATCACTCCCATAAAATATTTCTTTTCAAATCTTTGTAATAAGGGAGATATTGAACTTTGTCGCACTATTGGGCCACCCCACCCCATTAAAAATGTCACATTTTGCTTCCTCAGAGTGTAAAAATACCATAAAGTGCATAGGTCGAAAATATCAAAATTAAAATTTTGCTTCCTTTTGACAATAATAAAAATTTAATCCTTCGGAGATTAAGTGACACTTTCCTGAAACCAGGGAATAAAACAGCACTTTTAGCAGCAGAGCGGGTTAATAGTGCTTGATAAAATCAAAGATTTGTAGACCGTAGACGTTTTTTGTGCCTCAAAGACAGTCGTCGTCCTCGAAATATTCGTGGTGGTAAATGAAATAAACGCCCTACTCGCGACTATGGAAGGTTGACGGTAATTTTTAACTCGCAGGATGCTGTACTACTAATATAGTACGTTTACCACAATAACATATGTCTGTGCAGTAATTAAGTTTATTGTCACAAGTACTTCGTGGTTAATTTAATATATATTTACCTATTGCCGGCGTGGTATTTTAAATGTTTCAAAGAACAATTTTAATAAACGTTTACGGAAATAAAACGGCGCGGCATGCTCGCCAGTTTTAATTACATCTAATGCCGTTTCATAAGAATTCCAAACAGCTAAAAATGTATCATCGTTTCTCGAGAATTTCTAAATTTATTTTTACCATATCCGCGTGCTCGTGACATCTACCTATGTTATTCATATTTTTACGATACGTGCAAGAAATACCAACTGTCACTTGTCATAATGGCAAAGAAAACATATAAATAAATAGGCGGCGCGGTGGATTTTTAACGTATATTTGTTTGCTTTGGGGGGCGCCAGTGTTATATATAAGCGACGCCAGAGCCGCCTCTGCAATTTGTGCTACTATTTTCTGTCCCACCTTCAATGATAAATACGAAATTAATAGTAACTTAAGAATTTTATTCATGATTTATCGGTTGGTAAAAAGTGTACGAAAATTTTTGTGGGAGCCGCGAATGAAAATTACAGTAGGAGTAATAGGCAGTAAAAAATTTATAATCACGCACAAGTTGCTATTTAGGAGACATGTTTAAAAATTGTTAAACTCCGTGAACAACGAAACTTACATTTGCAGTTTTAAACTCGGATAACCCTTTTATATTTAGACGTATTGTTTGAAAAAATCGGATCAAAACAGTAAAATAGGTTGGTCGTTCAAAAATAGAACGTAAAAATTTAAAATTCATGTAAGTAAAATACATAATATTTTCTATTTATTTAAAAATAGTACAATGTCATTGTACTAGTTATTTTGCAAAGCGTGTAAAGGATTTTGTTCATAATAGATATTTAGTATTCCAAAGTCTAGACTTTACAAATATGTAGCTTAAAACCACAATACCATTTTTGACGTAACCGACAGGTCAACTGAATAAATAACTATAAGCCAGTTTAAAAAAATAATCCTCACGACATTTATTAAATAAAATAAAGTTCCGTTTACGTAAAATTAGTTCCTCTGTACAATTAAATTTCGACCAAATAGAAGCCTTTAAGCTTTACATCCTTTCTTTTATTTTTAAATATGAAAGGAGTTAATATATTCATGAATATAAAATACGTGTTCATCAAGGCAATGACAGAAATATTGATTTATATCTATTACATCAAAAGACAGTTTTGGGTTCCTCAGTCAGTTTTCTCAGAACTAGAAACTAGAACATCTATATAAGATGGCGATGATGTCTTAGTGAAAGAATTTATAAAAAGATTTCATGAGTTAATACGTAGGTACCGGTGTACACTTACCTTTGTGTCATGACGTGGTTTTATTTACAAGAAATATTTGAATCTTCATTCGTTAGGTAATAATTTTCGAGTTGGGCAACCTCATCTGTTCCGTTTATCTGACCTTTCGTTTAATTTAAATCAAAAGTGTCCTTAAAATAAATTATGATAAACTTAGTTTTGAAAACAGAATTACATAGCTGAAATTTATAATTAAATGTAAACAAATCGCTGCCAATTATATTTGGCTACAATATTTCTTCGTGTTTTCATTTATTTTCATATGTGGCGTCGCGTCCAGATAAGTACTTAGAAAAAACTGTTTTCTAACCAAAACTATTCCGATAAAAAATGCGGATACGTTTTTGACTTTTCTTTACGTTTTATAGACAGGAGATGCCGCAACAAAATACATTAACAAGATATCCAGCAGGCCTTGTTCTAATTAAAAAATAATCCCATGTCATTATAACTTTCTTGATGAGAGCCACATTGCATGCTGAGAGAAGGTTTCTACTGAAACTTGAGATAAATACCTAATGATTAATACTCATCTTGTGACTAATTTGCGCCTTTTTCGAAAACAATTTTCCAACTTAAAGTCATTTTTATAACTACAAATAAATCAGATACGATCTCAAAAGCCATAATCAGCTTAGAAGAATTTCCAGTTATAAGAAATCTGTTAAGCAATGCCTCATACATAGGATGGTATTAAATTAATATTCGATTAATATATTTAATTCCCTACTATTAATTACACTTTCAAGTAAAATTTTATGGTTATCTGCCATATGCTTAAAATATTTCCAACAAATCTTGTAAGATAAATTCGTTAACAGATTTATTTAAACAAATAGCTTATCCTGGGTTTTAAATTAATTTTTGCGTTCAATCAATGCCTGTTTCAATGTAATTTACAAAAAAATTAATAATTTTCACACCTGAGCCGAGTTGTGTGGTGAAAGTGGCGACGTATTATTATTTTTAGTTACATTTCGTACTAACTATAAATACTTATTTTAAACATCTCATTTTTCCACAGATTAACATAAGTTTGGACGAGTACACCAGAATGATGAACACCTACCTTCAGACACGTGAAAACTCCGTAGACACTGACACCGCCATTCCTAAACTTATCACATTCAACGTAGGTAAGTAAATTCTGACAGAGAAAGCGTTAACCTTTCAGGATATTAGTAAATTGGCATAATACAATATAAAACTTAAAATTCTATGTTGCGAACAAAAATTTGTCGAAAACAATGGTAATAGATCTTTTTAGTAGTGACGTCACCTACGCCAAATAATAGGCAACCCGATAGTTCACATTGTCATGTTTTATTTGGCAAGTTTCAAACCTCAACTGACAAACTAAATGAATTATAGAATTTATATATTTAAATTCATAGAACAATTTTGACTTTTATAATAATTAATAAATTAAAATTATATCAATGTTACTGAGCATGCGCATTAAACATAACTTCATGTGAGCGAAGTAGCCTCGCAACAGGATATCATTCAAGAAAAGTTTGGTTATAGTTAAGAGTACGTCTATAATAAACCACATGAAGAAAAAAACACTCGATAAACACACTGACACAGCACCACACTAAGAAAAACAATAAAAATACTTCTTAGAACTAGAAAATGCCAAGATTAACAAAAGAAGAGAAAATACGCTAAACGCTAATGATGTCAGCGATGACATATCAACAGGATCTCACCTGCGTATGAGCCTATTTTTCCGAGCATGCGCATTAGGAATAACTCGGCTGATGTTAAATTTTTACATTATTTAGATTTAGGAATATTCTTTTACATCGTTTTTTGTAAGTTTTAAGCACATTAGTGTATCTATTTTACGAAACACGTGTTGGTTGTTCTTAAATACTTCTAAATCCTTGTAAAAATAAATTAATTTGAATATGTTCATTTTTAGTATCCATCTAAATAGTACACAAGGGTCAGATCCGGCCTGTACAAATTCAACTATGACAATTTGTTGCGGGTTGCCTAAATATGTGACGTCACACTAAAAGAGTCTATTAAAAAAGAATTACTATATTAAAATGACGTATGTATTACATTATAGAAAGCAGATATCTAGATATGTGTTAACAAATAAACTATATTTCGAATAAAGCGCATATACATATAATGGTCGAAATTTTCTTAAATCTGTGTAAAGTATAAATGTTTTTCGGTGCTACCACTTTTTTTTCGTGATAACAGTAATTTTATTGTTATATAATATGTGCGTAAAAATTACAATAAATTGCCCAAGCACTGACGCTGTTCTCGGCGTCGAATTGCCTCAAATGGTTTTATATCCCTTTACAAATTTGCTTAATCTTAATTTCGTACGTTTTGTACAAATATTATGCCTAGGTGTGAACAATTTATCTAGCAGAAATTCCGTTGCCCCATAATATCCCCAAAATATGAATCTGAATCATATTTAATTTAAATTGGAAAGGTAGTCGTTTTCTTCAGTAGTTCAGACAGTTCGAAATGTACTGATTAAGCACAGATTTCCGATATTAAATATGTTTTCCTTGCATAGAGACGAGTGACGAGGAATTATTCACACCAGTTCCGAGGATTAAAAGAAAGAATGGATGTGTCTCTCAACAGACCTCAAAGAGAACAGTTGGTCAATTCTAACGATACGACAATTTGCTTTCCCTAAGAATAGTTCCCGCTCTTCCAAACAAATTGTTCATATTTATTTGTTTAGATAGAAAAAGTAAATAGTTGATTTGAAACGTCACAATGTGGAATCTCACTCGACCACTGTTTGAGTTATATCATTCACAAGTAATAGAAAAAAAGAGCTTCTGAATGAATATGTGACATTTGTTTTTACAAGACCTTGCTGTTAATAAACATCATAAAAAGAATTAATGGAACGGACAGTATCCTATTCCGTTACCATAAGGTTCTAAATAAACATTCAAAAGTGTGTTGAAAGATACCTACTACATTTTTTTTAATTATACAGTTATTTTATTATTAGCTGGTGTTAAGGTGTCAAGCTTGTTTAAATTATGCTGAAAATATAATTTCGAGTTGGTCAATAATTATCCAAAATGTTTGACATAGTTTCGAAATTTCATTTTAGCTAAAGTTTTGAATTTTTAATAACCATGTTCTTTAAGGCTAGTCATTACTTTAGAAAGTGCGCCTTGAGTCATTTTAGACCAATAAGCCTAAACCAAGTCACTGGATTTCGAGATACGGGGTGTTGAGGTTTTAAAAAATACCACATTTATTAAAATATCTCCGAAATCTTGATGATGATTTTTTAGAAGTATGTACATTTAATTCCCGATGTTATTGTTATTGCTAAGGAAAAAGGTATATTATAGGTTTTTATTAAGAAATTGATATTTTTAGTCGTTGTAACTCAAAAGGTCTTGCTTCTCGGACAATGTGGAAAACCCACAGCCTCATAGAAATAACAGTCGGGGGAATTAAATATTCAGATATCCATTAACTCTTCAAAACACCCTGTATCATTGACAAACATTTTAAAACGTAAAGAAAATTGATTTGAATATGGAACGGAACTGTCTATTGTAAAAGAGCTACTGCTTTTCGAAAGACGTGCGATTAGTTGTCTCAGCTCACTGTAGCAGCAACTGATTTCGGTACACTTGTTGCGATCGACCGAGGACCAGCGTAAGTCGTTCTCAAGGCTGTGGGACACCCAGTATACAGTTTATTCGAATGACGCGAACCCACTGAATGTAACTGAAAGAACAGGAAGCATCTTACCGGGTGTACCTACAAGGTAAAACCTAGTCATTCTCCAGCGAAAATTCCCAGAAATTTGAATAAAAAAAAATAGTTCAAACGCTGTTATTAATATAGAGTTAAATTCCAATTAATTACAAGAGAATTCCAGCGAAAACGTCAACGTTCTACCATTTAAAATGTATTTAAAGAGAAACATACCAAACTCAGTTACCTTGCTCTAGGCCACAGAAGTGGCGGCAGGCGGATGTTGCATACCAGGCAGCTACACTGGACGCTTACGTCATTGGTTAATTACTCATCGTATGGTTTACCCACTTACCCGGTACACGCCAACTCGATTTCTGAAAACTACCCTTGCGTGGCGGGTCCTTTAAAAACTTTAAACGCGATGGGTCAACATTTGGAAGGATCAGGACTGGCAATATAAGAAATATTTAAGAAGCTTCAAACCCCCAAGTGACAAACTAAAAGAATTATAGAATTTATATATTTAAATTTATAAAACAATATTGACTTTTATAGTAATTAATAAATTAAAATTATATCAATGTTACTGAGCATGCGCATTAAAGATAATTTCATGTGAGCGAAGTAGCCTCGTAACAGGATATCATTCAAGAAAAGTTTGGTTGTGGTTAAGAGTACGTCTATAATAAACCACATGAAGAAAAAAACACTCGATAAAACACTGACAGCACAATACCATGAAAAACAAAAATACTTAATAGAACTGGAAATGTCAAGATTAAACAAAAGAAGAGAAAATACGTTAATGATGATAGCGATAACCCTGCGTATGAGGCTATTCTTCCCGAGCATGCGTATTAGGAATAACACGGTTAATGTTAAACTTTTATTTCATTTAAGTTTAGGAATATTCTTTTACATCGTTTTTTGTGAGTTTTAAGCACATTTGAGTATCTACTTTACCAAACACTTGTTGATTGTTCTTAAATACTTCTAAATCTTTATAAAAATAAAGTAATTTGAAATTGTTCATTTTTATAGTACACAAGGGTCAGATTCGGTCTGTACAATTTCAACCATGGCAATTTGTTGCGGGCTGCCTAAATTTGTATCGTTACACTAAAAAAGTCTACTACGGCAATGGCTTGTGCTTGTCTAAAGACTGTAAACTATGTGACATTAAATCCGGTAAATGCCAATTTTCTTGCTTTTTCCTAAATTAAAAAAAAATCTATTTGAAAAAGTCGATATGCAAATTTTCATTCAGCATTTCTTTCATGTCGAAAGTATTTTAATTTTTCCCGCGTTAAACTTTTTTAACTATTTTTTCCTTCAGTAAGTTATAATAACAAAAAACTGGCAATTTTGAGGTATTGTCACACAAAAAAGTATAAAAAGTAATTAAAATAAAATATCGCTCAAAAAATATATTTTTATAATGAATTTTAGAATTTAAATGTCAAATTTGACGTATACAAAGTATCGTCACATTTAGAGGTTTGATTTTACAATTTTTAGACGTGTACAAATGATTTATGTAATTGTTATTTTTTTATACCGTCGAAAAATTATATTTGCATATGTTTAACGTAATAATTTACTTAGTATTCATGAATCCGGTACTCGGGTATTCATAAAATACCTTTATTACTCATGAATACTATTTCCGAGTACTGAGTACTGAATACATGTCTACAACTGGTAAATACTGTCAAATAAAAGTATTCAATACCGGAACACTGATTAAACAAATATCGTATTGAATACCAGCTCTAGGAAAGATAAAGATACCAACTTAACTGTTGGATCAACCACGGAGATGCTGTTTTGTTTGAAAATAAACGGAAATGTCCTGATTTCTGCGGGGATCCAATAAAATCACAGTAAACCGTGAAAAAGCTTAAGATATGTACCAATGCGCCGATAAATCAGAAACAAATATTCGATTATCTAGGAGCGTTGATGGATGTAGATTGGCTTTACTATCGTAGTAAACTATACCAATGTCAAAACCAATATTTAGTTATTTTCACTAGATAAATCAAAAATGTTAATGAAACCTACCTACTTAACAAATTACACATAAGCTGATGAAAGATTTAAATGTACGCTACCATCTGTTTATTGTATGTTAGATTGTGTGCTATAAATCACTCCTTTTTGAATTTAAAATTAATTTTGATTTATTTTAGGGCTACACGTCTAGAATGCCATTCGATAATTGTTTGTAAATTTCAGGGTGGGAAACAATATCTCCGGTGATTGCTGATGTGGCAACACGACTCTACACTGAAAGCTTATAGGCTGTAAGCTTGTTAACTTTTTTCCTCTTGTAGTACTAACAGCAGGGAACCAATTTCCATTTATATCGGGTTTTGCATTATGCACGCGCGGTCCGTTTCAACGGAGATGACTGAGTTAA